GATGGGCAGATGTATTACGGCTACTGTATCAACTGCCTTTATCCTACAATGGGTGATGCTTAGGACCATGGGCGTGGTCATTCCTTACGTCTCATCTAATGCTTTTGTTGGAGATGATCATCAGCTGGCACTGTATTTGAACTCCGTGTGAGTGTGTGTGGTTTTGAACAAATGGCTTCTGCTACTTCTATTTGAACTCGTGTTGTAATAACTATGTTTAAACTCTGATGTACCTGTGATGCGAACTTTTATGTAATATGTGATGGTGACCGCTAAACTTATTACGATCTTGGCTGGTATGTGAGTTGGTTCGAAATCCTTCGTGATTTCACGGACTACCGGGTTATACGGGCTTAAGTTTGCTAAATCGTCTGCTCTAGCAGGTGATTTTCTTACTTAATTTCATATAATTGGTCGGTTCTGTTACATACTTCCTGATGAACCAGATCAGCTGCTGTTGCAAATTGAACAGACAGAGCCGGTTATGTCTTCAGAACATGATGCCATCTCTGTTCCAGCTCCGACCAGTCAGTTAATTGAAGAGTTTTCTAACTTGTTTCATCCACCAACATCTCTTCCTCCTTCCCGTGCTTGTAACCATGAGATTCCTCTGTTGCCTGGTGCTCAACCTGTTTTCATCCGACCCTATCGATACCCACCCAAATTGAAAGATGAAATTGAAGCCCAGGTTCAGGAAATGTTGTCACAAGGACTCATTCAGCCGAGCTCTAGCTCTTTCTCCTCAACGGTACTGCTTGTCAAAAAGAAAGATGGCTCCTACCGCTTTTGTGTTGATTTCAGACATCTCAATGCGCTGACAAGAAAGTCTAAGTTTCCAGTGCCAGTGTTTGACCAGTTGATGGATGAGCTCGCTCACGCTAAATGGTTCTCCACATTGGATCTTTGAGCTGGTTTTCACCAAATCCTTTTGCAGCCTGGTGACGAGTTCAAGACCTCCTTCCAGACTCACCTGGGTCAGTACGAGTTCAGAGTCATGGCGTTCGGTCTTACCGGTGCGCCAGGCACATTTCAAGGTGCAATGAATGGTACTTTGGCTCTGGGTTTGCGTCGCTTTGTGTTGGTTTTCTTCGACGATATCCTCGTCTACAACCCCACTTTTGAAGCTCATGCTGATCATCCGCGCTAAGTTTTTCAGTGGTTACGTGCTGATCTGTGGAAGCTCAAGCTCTCAAAATGTACCTTCGCCCGGGAGTCCATCTCTTACTTGGGTCATATCATCAGCAGCCAAGGTCTTTCCACAGACCCAGCAAAGGTGCAAGCAGTCCTCGAATGGCCCATTCCGTCTTTAGTTAGGGAGCTCCGTGCTTTTCTGGGCCTTGCCGGCTATTACCGGAAGTTTGTGCGTCATTTCAACATTATTGCCAAGCCTCTAACTGATCTCCTGAAGAAAGATTAGTTGTTCATCTGGACTTCAACCCATGAGTCTGCCTTTTCGGTCCTGAAATAGGCTCTCTGTACTGCCCCTGTATTGGCATTGCCGGATTTCAACTTACCCTTCCACATTGAAACCGATGCTTCGGGTACAGGGATTGGAGCAGTGTTACAGCAGAATGGGCACCCTATAGCATTCATCAGCAAGGCTCTAAGTCCCAGGAATCAAGGGTTGTCCGTCTATGAGAAGGAGTATCTTGCTATCTTGTTGGCTGTCGAACAGTGGCGTCACTATTTGTTGTAGGGCGAGTTTTTCATTCACATTGATCATCGCAGTTTAGTACATCTGAACGAACAGAGGCTCCATACTGCATGGCAACAGAAGGTCTTCTCCAAGTTGCTAGGGTTACAGTATAAGATTTTATACAAGAAAGGCTCGAAGAACGGCGCAGCAGATGCTCTATCCCGCCAAGTGCCCACACCCTAGAGTTATGCTATATCTTCAGTCTCCAACACTTGGCTCGATGAAGTGGTACGTGGATACTCCTCTGATCTAGCTGCTATGACCTTGTTATCTCAGCTAGCTGCCAGCCTAGAAAGCCACCCTCCATTCTCTTCGGTCCAAGGCGTCATCATATACAAGAAACGTTTGTGGCTCGGTTCCAATAAGCCCATGCAACTTAAAATCAGGACTGCACTGCATAGCAGTCCTTTGGGTGGTCATTCAGGAGCTCCAGCAACATACAGTAAATTTAAGGCTTTGTTCTTTTGGCCTGGTATGAAATCTGACATTTGGGCTTATGTTCAGTCCTGTGCCGTGTGTTTGCAAGCTAAGCCGGACAGATCACGCAACCTAGGTCTCTTGCAGCCACTTCTAGTGCCGTCTGTCTCCTGGGAAGTGATCACGATGGATTTCGTCGAAGGCTTACCACCGTCTGGTTCCTTCAATGCCATCTTAGTAGTGGTGGATAAATTCTCCAAGTTTGCACACTTTATCCCCCTGCATCATCCCTTTACAGCAGCTTCTGTTGCCAAATTTTTTATGGACCAAGTGTACCGCCTTCACAGTCTTCCTCGAGCCATTGTCTCAGACCGTGACCGCATCTTTACTAGCAACTTCTGGAAATATCTGTTCAAGGCAGCCGGTTCCGAACTTCAGTTCAGCACAGCATACCATCCTCAGACGGACATCCAGACCGAGCATGTCAACCAGTGCGTCGAAACATTTCTTCGCTGCTTTGTGCACACTTGCCCAGCTCAGTGGAGTCGCTGGCTGTCACTCGCTGAATTCTGGTATAACACATCAACCCATTCAGTACTGGGTCATTCCCCCTTTGAGGTCTTATATGGTTTTCCTCCACGCCTATTGTCGATCAACTTGGATGAGGTAGCTCCAGTGCCTGACCTTCACAAATGGATGACTGATCGCGAACTCATGCATACTGCCGTCAAGCAACACTTGCTCCGTGCCCAGGCTCGCATGAAGCGCCAAGCTGACAAAGGCCGTTCTGAGCGTCACTTCTCTGTGGGCGATTTGGTGTTCTTGAAGCTTCAACCTTATATTCAGTCATCACTGTTTCGCCGTTCTAACAACAAACTGTCCTTTAAGTTTTTTGGGCCCTTTCCAGTTATCCAAAAGATTAGCTCCGTTACATATAAGCTCCTACTTCCACCAGGTGCTGTTGTCCATCCGGTCTTCCACGTATCGCAGTTGTGTTCTTCTCCTGGCAACCAGCAGGTATCCCCATCGCTTCCTTCGGATTTGCAGCAGTACCAGTTTCCACTCCGGGTGCTGCAACGCCGCTGGACCTCTGGATCTCGGCCGGTGGCACAAGGCCTGATCCAGTGGTCCCATTCCCCTCCGGAGCTGTCTACTTGGGAGCCGCTCGAGCAACTTCGCCAACAGTTTCCACGAGCACCAGCATGGGGACATGCCGGTTCTGAAGATGGGGGGAATGTCAGCAACCTGCCTCCGCCCTTGCCACTGACAGGAGAAGAAGGCGTGCCCGGGTCTGAAGAGGAAGCTGCTTCGAACAACCGGCCCAGAAGGCTGCGACGGCCCAGTACAAGATTCGCCGGTCCAATGTGGCGAGTATGAGTCCTTGTAATATATATTAGCCAGGAAGAGAGAGAGGGGTCATGGAGAGAAAACCGAAAATCTAAATTCAGTCTTAGAATCTAGCCATCGCGCCGTTAGACTATTCTATTATTGTGTTCCTACTTGTTCCTAGTAATTACTCCTTACAGACTGACCCTGTTCAGTCCTCTCCATATCCATGCAAAATGGTCTGCAGTCCTGATGAACTCCGATTTGGAAGTAGGCAGCTAGGGGGGAGTTCGGTACCCTGGAGAGAAATTCCAGAGCAAATAAAATGCAAGAAATTAATCACCAAACTCAGCACGGCTTTCTTATTATTCATTTCCTGTCCAAGCGTCTACACCACCAGCACCAGGCTCTTTCGCTGTCGCCTTATATAAAACCGATAATTACACGACGGGGAACGGCCACCGAACTCCGTCCATCCGACACACCACACACGCCGGTAAATTTCCTGCCCGACCCAGTAACTCCCAGCGGCAGTGCACTTGTGCTGCCTGCGTTCTTCCCCCTGGGTCCTGTGAGCTGCCGAAAGATCCGAGCGCAAGGCCACCAAACAAGGCCGCCTCCCGATCTCCGAGCAATTTCATATTCTTTTCCTCCCGTTTCTTGTGTTTTTTCCTCTCGCTTATCGTTGATCCGTCTCCCAGAAGGAGAGGGGGAGGAACCAGGGAGATTGTTGCCGTCCCTGTCACCCCATACCGCGCTGTCGTGGTGTCCTATGCGACTCGTTTGTCCCCGTCGTCTGGTTGCTGATTAATTAATCCAAGGCCATGGATCTCCATGAGGACGCCTGAGAGGTCAGGTGAGCTCGGAAGTTCTTGTGCACCTCCCTGCTTGCTGCTGCTATAAAGCTACTTCCCCTGTCCCCCCACTTCTTCGTCTTGCAACATGAGCAGCTCGATCTTAATAGCATAGGGGGTTGATTGCGGCTCGGAGATTTTTCGGGCGTTTTCTCTTTTGGCTGATCTTTTCCCGCACTTTCCGTCTGATATTTATCGGCTTCTTACTCCAGCAGAGTTGCTTGCTTGCTGAAAAGCCTCAATTGCTCGCTTTAGAGGGGTTTTTTCCTGGTAGTCTCTGAGCCGCCAATTTTTTAACCACTCAGCTGGTACTCCCCACATCCATCCACCAGGCAAGAACAGCAACGTCAGTTTGCAGCAGAAGAAAAAGGCTCTCCCTTTGTACTGAAAGCACAAAAAAATCCTCTCTATCTCTCTGACTCTTTCCCTCACTCCATCACTCCGAGGTAGAGTGAGCTAGCGATACAGGTGGCTGCCTGTTGAGTCCAGTGTGTGCCACTTCTCTCACAAACACTGCGAGCTCGTTTCTATCCTGCAAGAAACAGCGAGCCAAAGCATCCGCTCCATTCTTCGCTAGTTCGTGCGTCGATCCAAACGCCAATCTTGGATTTCTGCTGCAAGGGCTGTGCTTCTTGTAGCAAAAGGCCCAAACATTTGACCACAAGCCAGCTCGGAATCGGATCCCTGCGAGGACCAGGCGGCCGGCCATGGGGTCCCGCTCCTACTCCAACCTGCTCGACCTGGCCACCGGAGCAGCAGACCAGGCGCCGGCGGCCGCCGCGATTGGCGCGCTCCGGCGGCAGCTCCCGCGCGTGGTCACCAACCCCGGGTTCATCGACGACTCCCCGGCGTCGCCGTCCACGCCGGCGCGGCCGCGCACCATCATCGTGGCCAACCAGCTCCCCATCCGGTCCCGCCGCCCGTCGTCGCCGGAGGAGCCCTGGACCTTCGAGTGGGACGAGGACTCCCTCCTCCGCCACCTCCACCACTCGTCCTCCCCCCTGATGGAGTTCATCTACATCGGCTGCCTGCGCGACGACATCCCGCAGGCCGACCAGGACGCCGTCGCGCAGGCGCTCCTCGAGACCCACAACTGCGTGCCGGCCTTCCTGCCCACGGACATCGCCGAGCGCTACTACCACGGCTTCTGCAAGCAGCACCTGTGGCCGCTCTTCCACTACATGCTGCCGCTGTCCCCCGACCTCGGCGGCCGCTTCGACCGCGCTCTGTGGCAGGCCTACGTCTCCGCGAACAAGATCTTCGCGGACAAGGTGCTGGAGGTGATCAACCCGGACGACGACTTCGTGTGGGTGCACGACTACCACCTCATGGTGCTCCCCACCTTCCTGCGCAAGCGCTTCAACCGCATCAAGCTCGGCTTCTTCCTGCACTCGCCGTTCCCCTCGTCGGAGATCTACAAGACGCTCCCCGTACGCGAGGAGCTCCTGCGCGCCCTGCTCAACTCCGACCTCATCGGCTTCCACACCTTCGACTACGCGCGCCACTTCCTCTCCTGCTGCGGCCGCATGCTCGGGCTCTCGTACGAGTCCAAGAGGGGGCACATTTGCCTCGAGTACTACGGCCGTACGGTGAGCATCAAAATCCTGCCCGTGGGAGTGCACATGGAGCAGCTCAAGACGGTGCTCGGGTTGCCGGAAACCGAGGCCAAGGTGGCTGAGCTGATGGAGATGTACTCTGGAAAGGGGAGAGTGGTCATGCTGGGCGTCGACGACATGGACATCTTCAAGGGGATCAGCCTTAAGCTGCTTGCCATGGAGGAGCTGCTGCGGCAGCACCCTGAGTGGCGGGGGAAGCTGGTGCTGGTGCAGGTCGCCAACCCGGCGCGAGGGAGGGGGAAGGACGTCGCCGAGGTGCAGGCGGAGACGTACGCCATGGTGCGGCGCATCAACGAGGTGTATGGTGAACCGGGGTACGAGCCGGTGGTCCTGATCGATGAGCCTTTGCAGTTCTACGAGCGCGTGGCGTACTATGTCATCGCCGAGGTGTGCCTGGTGACCGCGGTCAGGGACGGCATGAACCTGATTCCCTATGAATACATCGCCTCCCGGCAAGGCAATGAGAAGCTGGACAGGATGATGCGGCAGGGGAAGCCAGAGGAGAAGAAGAGTATGCTGGTGGTCTCCGAGTTCATCGGATGCTCGCCATCTCTGAGCGGCGCCATCCGGGTGAACCCGTGGAACATCGAGGCCGTGGCAGACGCCATGGAGACCGCCCTTGTGCTGCCTGAGAATGAGAAGAGGTTGCGTCACGATAAGCACTTCCGCTACGTGAGCACCCACGACGTTGGGTATTGGGCTATCAGCTTCCTCGAGGACCTTAAGAGGACCTGCAGTGATCATTCTCAGAGAAGGTGCTGGGGCATTGGCTTCGGTCTGCGGTTCAGAGTGGTCTCGCTCGACCTTCACTTCAGGAAGCTTTCCTTGGAGAGCATTCTTATGGCATACCGGAGAGCCAAGACACGGGCAATTCTGCTAGACTACGATGGCACGCTGATGCCACAGGCGATTAACAAGAGCCCCTCCACCGAATCTGTTCGGATCCTCAACAGCTTGTGCGGAGACAAGAACAATGTGGTGTACCTATGCAGCGGGTATGACCGGCGCACTCTTCATGAGTGGTTCCCTTGTGAGAACCTTGGCATAGCTGCGGAGCATGGCTACTTCCTGAGGTATGTGGCTATATGTCCTACTTCCTGAAGATCAGCTTTTCGTTTCTCCATATCATCATCTGACTTAATTCGATGTCATAGCACTGGCCAACTAAAAACTTGATGGATCATGCACTAATTCATCTTACAATGCTAAGTGTCATCCTGTTGTAAGAAATGTTTGATTTGCTGAAACTTCTACAATTGGTTCAACAGAAACACATAGTAGTATAGGACTGGAACATTGGATAGAGCATTAACATATGCAATTGGCTGACAGTTGAATTTGTTGCTGAGATATGCACGTCACTAGAAATAGAAACTGTCTAGCTCAGGGGATTTCTGACTCTTGAAATGTGTTATTACTTGAATAAAGGTGTAAGAGGGACGCAGAATGGAAGACCTGTGTCACTGCTACCGACTGCAGCTGGAAGCAGATCGCCGAGCCGGTGATGTGCCTGTACAGGGAGACGACGGATGGCTCAACCATCGAGGACAGGGAGACGGTGCTCGTCTGGAACTACGAGGACGCGGACCCTGACTTCGGCTCATGCCAGGCCAAGGAGCTCGTCGACCACCTTGAAAGCGTGCTTGCAAATGAGCCTGTATCAGTGAAGACCACGCCTCACTCTGTTGAAGTGAAACCACAGGTGAAGCCGCAATCTCCTCCATCTTGATCTCCCATCTTCTTTGGGCAAAATAATCCAGGCGTAGGAATAGGAATTCACTGGGAACGACATCGTTTTCCTTTTGCAGGGCGTGAGCAAGGGCTTGGTGGCTCGGCGCATGCTGGTGTCGATGAAGGAGCGGGGCCAGTGCCCGGACTTCGTCCTGTGCATCGGCGACGACAGGTCCGACGAGGACATGTTCCAGCTGATCGCCGGCGCTGCTTGCGGGGACTCGCTAGGGTCCAAGGCGGATGTGTTCGCGTGCACCGTAGGCCGCGAGCCCAGCAAGGCCAGGTACTATCTCGACGACGCGGCGGAGGTGGTGAGGCTGATGCAGGGGCTTTCCTACGTCTCCGAGGAGCTTGCCCTGGCAAACCACCGGGATGAAGACGAGGACTCTTCTCTGGACGTGTGGGAGTAGTAGCGTTCCCGTCGTGTGCTCCTGCGGTAGCTGGGATTTGCATGTGCCGGGCGTAATGTTTGTTTGTGTTGGCTCGTTTGGAGCTATCACCGAGACGCCGAGGCCGAATATTTGAGTAGTTATTAGGTGTGTAAATGAGGTATGCTTTATCTGGGTAATGTATTGTCAGTGATTTAGTCTCAGGAGCTGCCGAGCTGGCTTGAATCTAGTGATGCAGTAGTTACTACGATTGATCACAGTACTTGTGTCTAGTGATGCTGCTGTAGTTCAGTTTGTGGTGCTATTTACCTGATCAGTGGAAAGCAGTATGAGCTATGCACGATGCAGATCTGAAATTTCATTCATCTGAAGATCATAGCTTTTCTCGAAGGCGTGTGTATACGTCTTTGGAAAGAACCATATGTCTGATTTGTTTGTCAGGCCTCGAGGAGTTCATTTTTATGTGATGCTCAGTTATTACTTGGAACTAGCCCGAACAAAAGCTGTAAGTTGAAGGCTTTGAGAAGGTCTTTGAGCAGTGTGGAGCTTATATACAAAGACGCACCTCCGCGTCCCTGCCTACCTGATTAACAGATCCAATCCCAATGTTTAGGAGAAATTAGTGCCAATTGCGACAGCAGAAATCCCATATTCTTCCAGCGGATGCCCATGGTTTTAAAAACTAAAAAGTTGTAGGGAGCCGTACGTTCTCTGAAGAATCAAGAATGAGCTGGTTTTCTAAATTCCAAGCCGGTTTTCTCACAATTTTACTTCACATGATGCTCAATCGCTCTGGTAATTGCTTCTGCCATGAAACAATCAAACTAGGACTTTGGTGAAAGTGAAACAAAAAGTTTTCAACGTGTGAACTGCTGCTGGACGCTGTGTTTATCTAACAAAAGAACTGCCCACCTTTATCTGCCGTCATTTAGCACTGAGTGAGTAGCAAATAAAAAAAGGGCATAGCCAGCGGCTGACTATATACCTTACTAACAGATCAATCCCTGTCTTCTGGAGCAAAATAAATAAAACGCGAAAGGACAGTGATAGCTGAGGATTTACCTTTGCCATCTGCAGCACCGGGCGTTGGCTATCAACCAGAGAAGTTCAATCTTGGACATCAGGATTCAGAACATGGTCACTAGAAAAAATACAAGGCTATGTCGTAGCCTCTACAATGTCAGCCAAAATCCAAGCTTTCGCTCGTGAAACTCGCGTCTCACCGGCATAGCTATCACGCAAATACATCAACCAATCACTTCCTTGCAAGCATTGTTTTACGTATAAGAATTAAGAAACGCTAGGTCAATGCTTCTACGTACTTTCCTAAAAAATGCTTGCACGTACGAGCAAGAAGAAAAACGGTGCCATTTTGGAGCTATATGTATAAACAGACCCTTGGCTTCCGTTTTCAAACCCTGGCGTACGTTGGCACGCACGCGAGTGTTTGTGGAGGAAATGGGGAGCAGCGCGGCGCAGCGACGTAGGCGGCAATGCACGCTGGCTCTGGTGACCGCGGCGGCGCTGCTGGAGCGCGCGGATGAGGCGCTGCTTCCCGCGGTGTACAAGGAGGTAGGCGAGGCGCTGCGGGTGACGCCTACCGCGCTGGGCTCCCTCACGCTGTGCCGCGCGCTCGTGCAGGCCGTGTGCTACCCGCTCGCGACGTGCGCCGCGGCGCGCTATGATCGCGCGCGCGTCGTCGCCGCCGGGGCATTCCTCTGGGCTGTGGCCACACTGTTCGTCGGCGCCTCGGGCACATTTCTCCAGGTCAGTGACTGCTACGAGTTGTTTTGCGTCGTTTCCCACTCACTGGTCACTGGTCACTGGACACTAACAAAGGGGGCATTCCAGACAGTTTTTCCCCCCTTTGCACTACGTGCGCGCGCTACCTGAACGCTATGTCGAGGAACACTCTTGCAGATGGCGTTGGCCAGGGGCTTCAACGGCGTCGGGCTGGCGCTCGTTGTGCCGGCGATCTACTCCCTGGTGGCCGACTACAGCGACGACGGCACGCGTGGCACGGCGTTCGGGTGGGTGTCGATGGCGCAAAGCATGGGCCATGTCGCCGGGAACACCCTCGGCGTGCTGCTAGCGGCTACGAGCTTCCTCGGCGTCCCAGGCTGGCGGCTGGCGTTCTACGCCCTCGCGCTCGTCAGCGCCTCGATCGCCACCCTAACGTGGCTGCTCGGCACCGACCCCCGCCCCGTCAGCGTGAAGGCCACGGCTGCGGCCACGCTGGCCCAACTCGCCCGAGAAGCCAAGGACGTGGTGAAGGTGCCGACGTTCCAGATCATCGTGGCGCAGGGCGTGGCTGGGTCGGTGCCGTGGTCGGCGCTCAGCTTCGCCGCCATGTGGCTGGAGCTCGTCGGGTTCACGCACTGGCAGACCACCGTTATCACCAACCTGAACAACCTCGCCAACGCGCTCGGCGCGCTGTTCGCGGGGTTCGTCGGGGACCCGGTGGCGCTGCGGTTCCCCAACACGGGCAGGATCGCGCTTGCGCAGGTGTGCACCGCGTCGAGCGTCCCGCTCGCCGCCGTCCTGCTGCTCGCGCTCCCCGACAACCCCTCCGCGGGGGCCGCGTACGCCGCCACGTTCTTCATCTTCGGCTTCGTCTCGCCCTGGTGCCCCGCCTCCACAAACAAGTGAGAAAGTCGCACCACCAGCAGCCCTGCCCACGGGTGAAAGGGCTTTTGCTCCATCTGGCAAGTCGCTCACCCCGCAGTCCTTTTGCAGCCCAATTTTCGCCGAGATCGTGCCGGAGAAGGCGAGGACGACGGTGTACGCGTTGGACAGGTGCTTCGAGACGGTGTTCGCCTCGTTCGCGCCGCTCGTCGTGGGCATCCTGGCGGAGCGCGTCTTCGGATACCAGCCGGTCGCGTCCGGCACGAGCGTGGAGGCTGACAGGGAGAACGCCGCCGCTCTTGGCAAGGCGGTCTTCGCAGAGATCGCCGTGCCGATTACTGTCTGTTGCCTCACCTACACCGCGCTGTACTGGACTTACCCCGCGGACAGACAGCACGCGCAGACGGCAGCTCGGCAGGCGGTGGCGGGGGATCAGGACTGCGACTGCGAAGCAAGTTTTGTTGCCCATGCTGCAGGAGCCGAGGGCTTGAACCAGGCGCTACTTGCCTGAACAAAGGAGTAGCAAATTCTGAAGAATACATACTTGCCTGGCTAACCAATGGACAGATTCCATATACAAGCATTTCAAATACAAATACCAAAGATTTATTGTGCTGTAAAAACATGCTGTTGAATTGTTTCAATGCAGATAAAACCATACATATACTTCTAGAATTGCGCATTTCAGTTACGGTTAATGTATCATCCAAAGATTTATCGTACTGTAACAACATGCTGTTGAATTGTTTTATTGCAAATAGAATCATAAATGTAGGAGTATATACTACTCCCTCCATTCTAAATTATAATACATTTTGGCTTTTCTAGATACATAACTTTTGCTATGCATTTAAATATACACTATGTCTAAATACAAAAGCCAAAACAAAACCAAAACGTCTTATAATTTGAAAACGGATGGAGTACTAGAATTTTGTATTCCAGTTACGGATGATGTTTCATCGTAATGCAATCAGAGTCTATTTGTACAACATTCAAACAGGAGTGAACTGCAAAAAAAACTTTCAAACAGGAGTAGCTGACATAGCTGAGACATGAACGGTTTCCTGCCAAGTGCCAAGTAGAGATAATATGGGTGGGGATAAATCGGCTAGGCTGAATTACGACGGCCATAAAAATTATGCTACAATCAGTAATTACAGGAAAAGAGGACAACGGAAAGGAGCTAGAGACAGATTAATTTTAAGTCCTTTAAACTGAACAAACTTCTATAAAGCAATATTCCACATGCTGTCACATAGATTATTCCCTTTATAAACCAATTACAGAAGAAAAAGGAAGAAACGAAAATACGAGCAACCATTCATCAAACCACTAAATTTGTTTCCAGTGCTCACTGATCAACCCTGCATCAAGCAAAATAATTTTGTTAGGAGTTGAGGCAGAACTAAAAAGGATAATCATGTTTGGAATTATTGCATTAAGTTCCAAAGGAGAGCAGAAGTCACTGTGGAATTTCACATCATGTGGTTCACGGTAGAAAAGGGGAAATGAATAACTTTTCAAAATCACCAAGAATGATAAATAGGATCTTTGCAAACACTAAGTTAGAACAATGATAACATTTAACAAACACAGTATAAATATAGAAAAATAATAACTTAAGCCTGCCTAACTCAATCAAGTTAATCCTAGTAAAAAAACAGTAACATTAACAATTTGACAGTGTTAATACTGCTTGAACTAGAACTAGAAAATACTGACAAGGATTTGGTGAAGTTAAATACAACAGAAAGGATGAATTAATAAGAATATTAATAGAAGAAATAACATCTGGTAGAAACATTTGGAAAGTGTGCTCACCTACTTACAAATTCAAGAAAGTTTCACATCTGTCCACTAAATCCAAATATGTCGGGGTTCACTATGTCACCACTGTTTCCAATGCTGTGGCTCAAGTTGTTAGTTGGAGATTCAACCTCATCCACTGCAAAGCGGCTTGGGATGCAAGTGCCTTTCCCGACAAACCCATGATTCCTCCCTCGTCCTTGGTCAGGCAACTTGCCAAGGGTAGAACTCTGGAAGTTGGATGAAGTGGAACCAGGGTGGCCTTGCCCAAGAGAATTTCCAAAACTATCAAAATCTTGTGAAGGCGACCAGCTGCCGCTAACATCATTTTGACTCCGAAGTAAACCATACTGTGGATTTTTGGACTGAGAAGAGAGCAAACCAGAGTCCACACTGGTGTTACCACCAATATAGCCATAACTACGACTCAGGGAGTCAGTGCTCTCAGTCTTTAGAACACCTGGTGGCCTTGAGCTAACTCCTATAGCATTCTGATTAACCACATAAGGAATGTTCCCACTTTGAAAATTACTAATTCCTGGTGAAGGCATTGCATTTGAGCTGCGGTTCTTGAGACCAGGAAGATTTGCTCCATGGCTACTAATCAAAGGCTGACTTGTTGAAGCTTGATTAACCATATCAAGCCCACCCAACAGACTGGTTGATGGTGAAGGTGATCCAAGAAGAGGTTCATGTTTCATGGATGGAGGAATTGATGCCAGAAAACTTGGGGATTGAGATGGTATAATCAAGGGATTTTGATTAGGTGAGATACCCTCACTAGCCGGGAAAGCATTTAACGACTGAGATGGCATAACTACACCAGAAGGTTTGACATCGATATTGTGAAGGGTTCCTGACAGCAAGGTGTCTGGCTGTTGCTGCAATTCATGCAATAGCATATTGCTATTTTGAGAATTGCCCACATTTCCCAATGTGCTTGGTGAATCAGTCATACCAAGTTTGTTATTGGGCCAAGCTGCAAAAGATGGCAATCCTCCAACTGCTGGGCTGCTTTGAGAGAATGCACCATATGTGTTATTCTGACACTTGTATATGGGTTGACCAAATGTTATTTCTCTCTCTCCATGGGGCTTGTTTCCTTTGATTGCAGCCAGTCGCAAAGATGACTGGTCCCTTCCAGGCAACGCCAAACTGCTTGTAGGTCGACCAAGGAGTTCATCCTGCAAAGCAGCCAGAGCTTGAGGAGGGATCTGACCAGAAGCAGCCAAAGCTTGGAATTCCAGTCCTCCTAACGGAGCAACTTTAGCACTAGAAGCAGGCGCAACAAATGGATGAGGTATTCCTGCATGATGCTGAGCAATTCTCTTCAGGTAAAGTCTGAATTTCTGCACATAGAAAAAAATGCATCTTATCACCATTGATGTCTAAAGCTATGAGGTTATTAAATATTGGTTGGACTTGGAGCTCAACAAAAGCCAATAGAAACTAGTAAAACTTAATGGCATTACATAGGGTGATAGGGTACATTCAAAATGCTTAATAAAAAGAGGATAGATCAACCTCATCTAATCAGTTTCAGAGCAATGTATATAGTTAAATATTTCTGAAAATAGTGTCAAAAGCTGTTTGCTTTTGTGATATGTATCATGGAGAACTGGGGAAATCAATTTTTTAGTAACATGTTTTCACAATGTTTTCAGTCAAACAATGAATAGTATGACGGTTTGGTGCAATTACATTGCATTCTACAATGAAAGAATAGATAAGTGCTGTAACAATAAAAGCACAAGGCGCTCAAATCTGAGTTCACTCTGGCTGGAAGCCATCTATTTATATCACTAACAAATCCAGATTAAATTTTCAAAAAAAATGCAGATTAAATTTAGGTAGAATAATGAGGTGTAAGATGTACAAGTGCATAAGCGGCAACATCATGTGCAATAAAGATAAAGGTACTAAAACATGTAATGTTATCAGAAAGCTGGAAACCAAACCTGCAAATGGCTGGCAACATTTTCCCTGGTTAAGCCAGGGACATTCATCAATTCCAAAATTTTCTTTGGAACAGCTTCTGAAGAAAATATAAAACAAATATAAGCATGATGGAGAAGAGATGACTTCGTTCTAAGGTTCAGGCTTTTGACGGTAATCAACAATACTCAAATTCAATCAAGAAGGCGCATAACTGGCAATATGAATTTACAGCAAATTCCTGTCAATAAAAGTAAGAAATATAAAAACAAGTAGCAAAATCTTACTGTCTATCCCGAGGTGATTGACTGCATTAACAAATTGTTGATGAAGCTCAACTGACCAAACAACTCTTGGTTTCTTTGATGTAGAAGAAGGATCACCATTTTCCAGGTCAGTTTCATCATCTTCTTTCTCTCTTTTCTTTTTCTGAGATTTCCAGCTGCCATCACCTCCATCATTCGCAGAGGAAGCGTATTCATTATCATTATTGGTTGGTCTGTTACGATCGGTATCATCTAGGCTACCAGAATGCTCATGATCCTTGTTTTCATTAATTTTTTTCCTAACAACATGTTGCCAGATGTTTTTCAACTCCTCCATTCTGACAGGTTTTATTAAATAGTCACATGCTCCATGCTTAATTCCCTTCATTACAATATCCGTTCTTGAATCAGCAGACATCACTGCAAGTTTCATCAACAATTATTAGTGATGTGTTCCAACACCACATGTTAGCATACTGAACAGAAAAACAGGAAGAAATATATACTCACTGATAACTGGAAGGTCCATCTCCAGGCCTACAAGTTCAAGTAGCCTGAATCCATCCATATCCGGCATGTGAACATCACTTATTATAACATCAAAACCACGCCTATTCTCTCGCAACATAGTTAGTGCTCTTGTAGCCTGAGGACATGTTGTCACTGTAAAACAAAACAAGAAAAGGTCAAAAAGGTTTAAAATTCAAAGAACTTATACAAGGAAAATTCAACAACAGGTATGAAGCAAAATTCGAGACTGACACATCCGTATTATTCAAGAACAAGCTAACCTAGCTACATTGTGTCCCTGTGAAATAGAAAAAAGTTCATGAAAATGTGGATCTAAAAGAAAACAAATAAAATCCATAGCATGCAATATTGTGTCATGGAGCAACAAGAATCGAAAAAATTACAAATTCAAAACCACACTAGCAACAAGTATTGGATTCTATATTTGAATTGCAACTTAATGGAAAAAAAACATATCACATCCTGATGCTTGTTGTGGCTTAGTCATGCATATCCAGCTGACAGGTATCAATACGAGGAACAATGGCTAAGAAAAGCATGCTCAGTAATTTCTCACGCTTTGCATTTAATTAACATTTAGGACCCTATCTCTATGTCTAGAATTTTGCATTTTCTTAGATCTTCTACCAAACTAGCACTAGCAACGAAATAATGCATTCATTAGTTGTAGTTAACTTCTAAGGCAAGCTGCACAAGGATACGTCCAGAAGACAACAAACACATCAGGAAATGAAAATAGAAAGATATGACATTCACCAATTCCTGCAAAACAAAGTTAAACCTGGATCGCCCCCCACACACACACTCACACACACTCATTTTACCGTGCACGCATGTGGTGCTAGCGGCCACAACAGAATCACTAGAAACAAACATTTCAAGGAATTATGGGTTTCATATATACATGGATATTCCCATACTAAATGCAACATGGCATGTCTGCATCCAAAGAGTATTCTCATTTAAACATAGGCCTAATATATGATTATCAGGACGTGCGAGGTAGTGACAGGTGCATCACCGATACACTACATATACAATAGTGGTGGAATCCAAATTTAGCTGCGGCAAATCCTCGAAGTCTAATCTTGATACTTTGATAAATGCATAAGCACTCCGAGTAGCAAGCAGCAGCAGTAGCTAGGCACGTACACAGATTTCCCACGTATAACGCATCCACTCAGATCTCCCTATGCAAATATATACCATCCATCAAACTACGCCCAAATACAGACGCGTTAAAATTTACTTAAAACACCCGTTAGAATTCTAAGGGAAGGTTTCTTATAGATTGATAACGGGACATCTCAGAATTCCCCAGAATTTACGGGAGGAGCGTGTGAATCGCATAAAGCAGCGCCTTCCCGGACTACAAATAGATAAAACCGAAGCAAGGCATGAAACAGAAGCAAACATATTACCGATAGGAACAGGAAGCAATCAATCGCCTCACGCCCAGTAAACGCCGAGGCACGCCAAAGCAACCGAACCGAGGGGAGAGGGAGAGGAGCGGGGTAGTTGCTCACCGTCGTATCTGCAGTCAAGGAGCATCCTCTTGAGCACGAGGAGGCACGTCGGGTCGTCGTCCACGACCAGCACCTTCATCCCCACGGGGAACTCCCTTCCCCGCGCCTCTGCCGCCGCCATCTCCTATATCGAGAAAACCGAGACCTCACCTCGCTCCCTCCCGTCCAAATCACACCTCCATCGCCGCCGTAGATCCGGCGCCTAGCCGCTCGCCAGGCCGCGCCTCGGGAGCCGCCGCTGATTCAGAGACAGAAGCCGCAGGCACCGGCGGGGAAAGGGAACAGCGAGGGAGGGAGGAAGAGGTGGGGCGAGGAGGAGAAGGAGAAGGAGACTAAATCGCCAAGCGTGATTAGTAAAGCCAGTAAATCACGCGATTGGCCGGGGGTCAGGCAGCGATTACGAATTACTGCTAATGACGCCGCTGGCCAGGGCTCCTGCAGCCCGCGGTTGCGGCTGCGCTGCGCGTTCACTACTTCTCTCTCCTCCCTGTCTCTGCTGGCTTTCCACTTGCGGCGGGGCGGGCCGGTCCGCGGCGCCCTTTTCTCTCTCTCGAGATGGCTGCGTGCGCGCTTAGCTGGCCGCTACCGGGTGCTTCCTTTTAAAAACGGCTCGCATTGATTTTGTCTTGATTTCCTTCCATTTTTTTTGAAGATCCCATACATGGTCTTGAGCTTTCCATCTTTTGCAACTTTCTACCGATCAGGACTCTTGCTGGATTGCCTCAGCTGAAGTTGGTGAGGAATACTGGTAGCATTGCTTTGATTGGGGCCGTTGGGCCATTGCTTGAAGTTTCCTTTTGTGCTTGCCCATTCTTAGGATGTTGATTTATGAAGGTGGCGTTTTGGAATTTGAAATTTGTATGTCTGGATTAGAGAGGGGTGAGGGTGGTCGGCGGCGGGGTCACCGCAGGTGGGGAGTGGGGACGATGGACGAGGCAACAACAGTAGGAGTTTTAGGATTTTTTTTTTTGGAGGGGCGGTAGGGGCTGCTCCATTGAAGATGGCTTAGAAGGGAGGGGCCCGACATGGTGACGAGTTGAAGGGCGGCGAGAGAGGCATGGGGGCCACCAAGCGGGCAACAGAGGATAGACGCTTGTGCGAAACCGACGGCGAGGTTGAGGAGTCGCCGAAGATGTAGTATGTAACCGACTAGAATTAAGGAAGGGCGAAGAAGGAATTGTGGGATGGGCAACGGGTGGCGAGGTCGCCGGTGGCCGGGCCGACGGACAAGGCGGGCGGGTGGGACAGCTGTGGGAGAAAAAGAGATGAGAAAGAAGAAACTGTGTGCCAGTACCGTATCTATAGCGACGCGCTCACGTTAGGGATGAGCTCTATACACAGTGAGTATACCCATACACACAAACTTCCTTGTAACTCGAATTTTTTAAGAAGGGCGGCAAAAGCTTTGCCATGATTTATATCAGACGAAGAAAATAAAAAACAAGTGTCAGCCCAGTTTTTTTAGTAGAAACCGGGTTCAAAACTCGACTACATGCTCAACCTTGAGCCAACTGGGAGAGTGCACCACTCGACTACATGCTCAACCTTGAGCCAACTTGGTCGAAAAACGACCCTACTAGCAACTCGGCTATCTAACCACTAGAAGCACAACTCCAACTAAGAAAGGAACTGGCAAAAATGACTTGGAGCACCGAGCACCACCACCTTGGAGAAGCGCTATGGAAGACGACATTAGATCAACAGCGAAAACTAAATAGCCTTGCAGAGCCTTCAAGAAAGAAATGAACCATCGACAAGCTAGCCCGAGAGAAAAGGTTTTTATATGCAAAATACAGTACGGTAGGAGGAGAGGTAGAAAATGACACCTCCAAGAGGGGCACGGCTCTCGTAGACGTCATTGTCCAAGCTTTCGCCCCGACCTCATACAACCTCCACACCACGGTCATCGAAGACCCAACCCTACCAAGGAGGTAGGATGCGGGGAGAGGTCAGCAGCAGCCCCGCCAGCTGTCGCCCCTAGGAACACCGGCCAGAAGAAGCGCCAAGAGAAGCCCGTCGGAGAGTCCCCCCCCCCGGTCGAAACCGGCAAAGCCAGCCAGCCATAGGCAGGTCCGGCCAGCTCCGCCACGGAAGTCAACCCGAGCAAGGAGGAAGGCAGATGGCGGGAAGAAAAGAGTCAGGATCCGAAGAAGCCCCGGTCGTCCAGCCCACCAACGTCCCAACCCATGTCGAGCTCACCCCACATCAACCCACGCCGCATAAGGCCTCCAGCAGCCCCCGCACCAAACTGTCGCCATCTACACACCCACTCCCTAGTCCTTCGTGGATCTGAGCCAGACCACAATAAAGGCACTAGGACCTCGGGCACACCATCACGCTGAGACGCGTGACAGCCTGAGCCACTGTAGCCCGTCCATCCGCATTGCCGGCCACACATCACGCGCCGCTGGCCGCACCGCCACCGCGTGACTCCACGCTGTGCGCGGCCTCCGAGCTGGTCAAGCCACGAGCTCCACCGCCACAATCCTGGCCAGGATGCCCAGAAATGGGTTCCGACCCACAGGATCCAGTGGTCCAATGAAGCTCCGATCGGGGTGGGGGGAGGCAGATCCGCCCAGCAGAGATGAGAGCGCCGCCACCAACGACGCCTGAGGAAGCTGCGACCTTAACCGCGCGGGAGAGAGCCCCGCCACCTCCTTCCTCGCATTTGCCCGGACCTCCGACGACCCGCACGGGCGACAGCGAGGCAGGGAAGGGAGGTGGAGGGGCGGCGGCGCTAGGGTTTGGAGGCCCGCTTGAGCCGCTCTAGGAGGAGCGACGCGGGTGGGGTGGGGGGGAGCCTAAAGTATCGTTTCTTGACCAATCCATTGTGACTGCTTTGTAACTCGAAATTGGAAAGTTAAAATTTCTTGAAGTGCTAGTCTTATAAATGAGTCCTAAGGTTTGGTCTGATTGTAATGTAAATCATTTCAAATGTAAATATGGGTGCTTATATACATATACATGGTATATAAACATAGGCACGCTTTTTATGTTACAATGGTTTATTAAAATTTTGCAAAGTCCATTATCGAACCAAATAGGAGCAACACTTGATTGCATTGAGCCTTTGGACTTTGGTCCATCGATGCTATGTTTTTTTCTTTTCATTTGTTTCTTGGCCAGACATCTATTTTAGTCCAAATTTGAGTGACCACATTTATTCCATATTCTAAGAGATCACCCTGTCTTATTGACGCAACGAGAGCGGCTTAACTATCGCTAGCAATTCGATTACTCACCAATTAGAGGAACAAGTGAAGCTGCTAGCTCGAGGACCCTTGCCTTAGGATATTGATGATACCTATATTTTCCCTTTCATGCTAGTCAAAGTACGTACTAGTCTATGTCATGACTTCGCGGGGTGAAGCTAAAATTTTAGAGCAATTATTATATTTGACAAGACAATGGAACCAGCTCAAGTGGCCGAGCTTATTATATTGATTGAGAACACTTATGAAATATAAAATAATAACAACCTGAAACGACCATTTGCCCTAAATCATCTCTAATCTTTGGGGACTGAAAATTATTAACATCATTATATCTCTTTTGTTTGCAAGTGGTGTCCACTTGCCACGTCTACTAGTAGCTTATATTATAAACATGTGCACGATACTCTCGATCGTATGAGTCAGGTTTTGTTTGTATCCCATATAAGCTAATTGTTAGCTGTTAAAAGTAGCTCTGATGGATCTAAACACCCTTGCTAACCTATAGTCTAACTAATACCTCAAAATAAATTATTTAGCTAATAAAAAATATTGGCTGGTACTAAATAAATTATTTATAGTCAATGCAAATTATTAACTGGTGTTAATATGTTAGTTAATATTTAGCTAAATACTACTAACTGTGAGGTATTAACCCTTATACCCTTACGGCTAGGATTGGGCCGGCCCGGACCAGGGGGTTTGGCCCACTAGAAAACGACATGCGGCCCGACCAATCTGCTTGAGTCCCGCGCAAGGAATCAAGGCAGACTTGGAGATCAAGCAAGATCCTGGTCGGTTAGAATAGGAATCCTTATCCGGCCACCTATGGCAATTGTAACTGGTTAGGATTAGTTTTTAGATCTGTAACCCTGCTCCCCAGACTATATAAGGCGGGCAGGGGACCCCTCTCAAGATCGTCTCTCATTGACATACATTACTACAATCAGACGCAGGACGTAGGTATAATGCCTTCACGGCGGCCGAGCCTGGATAAAACCTCGTGTCTGTCTTGCGTCACTATCTTGTTTGTACCTTGCGCATCTGTCTGTCGATAATCTACTACCTTAGGCATACCCCTAGATAAACTACCGACCATATTTCGTCGACAGTGGCGCACCAGGTTGGGGGTGTGCGTACTGCTTCCTAGAAGAACAAGATGGTCATCATCCCCGGATCCATGGCTACGCCGAACGGCCTCACGTTCACTGTCGGCCAGATCACCTGGACCACTGGCTCCGACAACTTCATCGCCATGACCACGGAGGAGGCGCGGATCCGATCTGCGTCGACCACTGCTTCACCGGCATCGGCTACGACTCCGACCACGTTGGATCTGGCTCCGGCTACACCAGCATCGTCTTCGGCCACACCGACAACCCGTCGCTCGCTTCCTCGCTACAAAGGGAGGCGGATCGACAACACCGACCTGCTCGACTCCATCGATCGGGTCGACACCAAGCTTGCTGAAACCCTAGCTCTAGTAGATTCGATTCAAAATCAACCTACCGACCAGGTAACCACTACCCACAACAGATCTACCCGACCAGCTCGGGCCAGTCGTCCTGCACGACTCGGTACGGATCTCGTGGTCACGTCTACTCCTGAAGGGCGTTCCGTTCGTCGCCAATCAGCCCCCGCAACGGGTCCCCGGCTCTTTGAGTGCGAAGCCTTGATGGAGAATTACCAGGCTCAGCCCTACGGCCTGCGCAACTTCGTCAACATGGTTCGGATCGAGGAATATCATGAAGGATCGGTCCACACAGTTCAAGAGGGCGGCTCAAGCTCCCCATCTAGCACCGCATCTAATGGCTCCATCCACACTGAGCTTTAGCTTCGCGACGATGAAGAAGTTGATTACGATCTAGATATCCCAGACCGCCCCTGGGGTTTTCATGATTCCCATCCT